TGAGAAAAGACAACGTTAATTGATAAATAGTCTTATCCATTTTTTAAATACAATTTATCAAAAATCTACAATTTAATAAGTATGTGAAATAATTTATATTTTATTAATTAACGTGCTTATATATATTTTATTTATTTTTAATTTTTCTATTGATATTTACATTTTCTATTAATAATGTATAGTATATTATTACTTACCTTCAGAATAAAACAACAGTTCTTTAAACAAGAATTTAATTTCTATAAATAAAGAATTTAATGTAACTTGTATAAATAAAAAAATCGTGATTCTTTTAAAAACCTAATGTAAAGTTAAAAAAGATCATTTAAAATTTGTCTTCATATATGAATTAAAATCATCAGAAAATTGGGACAGCAGAGGTGATCTATGACCCAGTTTATTATACAATTACAATATTCTTCGCTAATCATACTGTGATAAATAATAATCGTAATAATCGTAGTATATCTAGATAACACGAACTATTTACGATTGATATGATTTTATTTATACACCATTCAACATTCTCACTCTTTATTTCTTTCTCTCTCTCTCATTTGCTCCGTTTCTCTTTCTCTTCCATAAAGATCATTCTTTCATCAAAAGATGAAAAATGATAGTCGCACAGACATGCATTATAGCAAGAAATTTGTCTAATTGTTACAGTCCGTCGACGGAAAGATTCGCAAATTGCGACATCGTCGTTCGTAATCGCTCTCATCAGACATGTATAGTCGATAATTCTTAGTACAAAATAGTCAAACGATTTCTCGTTCTCCTTTCAACGGGATTCTGCAATCGTCTCGACATTTTAAGAAACTGTCATACCGTGCTCTTCGCGTATATTACCCTTACACGATTATGTTATGTGTCTCGTGATAACGTGTTACACACATCGAACGTTAGTAAAACTTATGATAATCCTATAATTCTCCACGAAGACATCAAAAGATTGGATACTTTAAACGCGAAGATAAATAAAATGTCAAAAATGAGATAATTTATTAATTATACATATTATATATAATCACGCAATGTACTAAACAAAATCTCTCTTTCTTACTAGAAGAAAAGAATTTATAACAATTTATGTTTCATAATTTTCTCTAGATATTTTACTAAATAAAGAGAGGCAAAATTTCGTATTTATTAAAAGAGAAATTAGATATATTTATATTCTTGTGTAAAAAATTACATGTTAGCTGAGTTTTTCTCAATTGACATTTTTCACTATTTATGGTTTAAGGTATCCAAAGATGTATGTCTTACGTCGAGAATATAAATTCTTCTACGAGTAGTCGACTAATTGGTATACTCGGAGCATTGCAGCTTCGTTTTCTCCTAATTACTGAACATCTAAGATCGTCTTAAGCCAATTACTGTGTGGATAGAAATAAAAAGCAGATAATCGCATAGTTATTTTCGTTTATCTATTTGCTTCTAAATTTAATGTTTATTTCATAGAAGATAGATTTTACGAGAGTAACAAAATATTGTATTACTTAAATGTATTCAAATTGTCGTGCAAATAATTTCATTAATTTATAACTAATAATTGATATTGAGAGATATCAATCGACTATTGATATTGCTAGAAAGATTTAAATATTGATTCAGAATTAAAAATTGTTTTATCAGTGCATGTATCTTCTGCTTCTTATTCCGACCGATCATAAATTGGTTCTTATGCATGTATATGGCGTATCGAGTATTATTTATCTACTACTACAAATTGTATATATACAGGTAGTATATACACAGATGAGAAGATGATGGGACGGTAGGAGAAAAATACATTTTTATCACGCAACGATAAAGAACGCGCGGCGATCGAAATTAGGAAATAAGTATCTCATCGATACTAATTCACACGCCGATCTCTCTGTACCCTTCCTTTTTACACAAGAATTATACAAACTGAAATATGTAATTGCGAAGGGACTAAAGGAACGGGACTATACAGAAAATTAAAAATGGTAAAAAAAATGCTGATGTAACTGAAAGCTCTCTAGCATTTTTATTCTCAAATAATAAAAGTTAAAATATAATGAAATAATATAATAATAATAATAATAATAATAATTATATTAATGAATGTAACTAATACGGATCATCAGTAAAACGTCTATTCACTTGCGCATTATCGCATATCGAACGCATTATAATATCGAGCGAGCAATCGATCGACAATGATGCCGTAACGAGAAGAGGGGGAGTGGCCTCTTTATACGTTAATATTCTGTTAATTATCTACAAACACTCTCCTGACGAACAAAAGTGGAAAACCTTCTGCCCCTCTCTCTTTTTATTCAACTATCTCCTCTTCCTGATTGCCTTCTTGTGTCCTCTTTTCACTCATCGTCGTCCGCGTATCTACCAACAAATGTACGGTTTTAGAGACTCTTTTTATTCTCCTTTCTTTCCTCTCGTCTTACTATAATTCATCTCTCTGTTCGCGCGCATGTTTTTGTCGACGTTCTCGTTACAGCTTGGTCCACAACTCTGGGAGTTTAGGGAATTTAGAAATGAGATGAGGGATGAAATGAGTCGAAAGGGCATGCATTGCTCCTATATGATCTAACAGTTTGCACAAATTCTTCTTGTGAAGGAATTCTCTAAACGCGTTAACCATCCGGATTCTTTGAAATAATAAATGAAAAAGGAAAATTTATAATTAAAGCTCACATATGAAAATATTATTGTTAGAAGCTATTTTAGTGCGCAACATAATTATATACTGGCACAGTGTCGTGCAAATTGTTGGATCGACAATTCGCGCGCGCTTCCCTCATTTTGGAATTACATACAGATATGCAGAAAGTAAAGCATTGTTTGTGCAGATACGTAAAAATTCAATTTACACGACAAGCGACATTAACAATAGTAACACGTATCGTGTGATTACATAGTAATCTCAATCAATACAGACGATGATGATGATGATGATGATGACATGACCATGAGAATAATACATGTTGTTATTTCTTAAAGGTCCGCACGGATTTCCTATCTTATCATATTATATGTACAACGTCCGTTTATACATTTATGTATATATGTATATGCATACGCCGATGCATGCATAATTTATATACGCCGATATACTCATGTGACATTATAATTGTTAAAGGTATACATACATTTACGCAAATTCTGCACGTTGATAATGAAATCTATGTACATATGCATGGGATTTAGGAATAAGTATATGATCAGTATATCACGTTCGTTTCCTGATCTATAATCTAAAATCATAGCCCTTAATTAATCACCGAGAATCCACCGGAAGTAGCATCGATCTTAACGAGCGCGAAAATCGACAATTTTATCTAACTCACAGAAGAAACGTTTATACATCAAAAAATATATTAAAATACATTAAAAAACATATTTTAAAATACATATCTTATTGTATTTTCATAAAAAAAGAATTTCTTTTTTTTTCACTCCCTTTCTCTCTCTTAGCATAAAATATCGGAAAGATCCGAATCTTTTCTGCCTTCTGTGCCAATTTCATTGATATACACGAATATACGGCATATAATTCGCATATGTATAGTGTAAATAATTGTATATACATTACGTATTACTTAGGTACCGTGTTATCTACAATGTTACTAACTATCGCTCGCACGAAATATGTATTTCTCATTAACACACAAATATTCCCACGCGCGTCACGTCGCCTCCGAATTTTTTTACGAAATTCTACCGTTCTCGCAAATGTACACATTTATATATAATAGATCACACATTATATAATACTTATTGTACAGGCAATATACTTTGGCATGAATCATAACGTTTCGCGTATATCGATCGTGATTCGAATCGGAGTTCGGCACCGCGCGTGGACATCGCGATCCTCGGTACAACATTCGGTGGTCTTGAATTCACGTAGTATATACAGCCCTGTGACACAGATATGTACGATACGATGACAGACACGCCTACGTGTATATATATGTACAATTGTATTGTCGGACCTCGCCGCATTTTGCCATTGAGATGCACTGTAACCCTGCTTGCCAAAGATGTGCCATCGAATAAAATTATTTTTAAAATTATTTGAAAACTGTAGAAAAAGGAAATATATGATATTCTTTCTCTACTAGTGTGATTTAAATCATTCAATATCTTCACGAAGGTTCTTTGATGATAACAAAATACTAAAATATATATGAAATTATATCGCGAAAAGAAGTTTGTCAATCAATTTTTCCTTCAACAATCAGATAAAATGTGTCAGGGTATTCGATGATTTCCTAATTAATCTGACAATGTCGAAAATGATATCGATTTTAACGCAAATTATAATAATAGAAAACGCATAAGAAAAGAGATAATCAACAAATAAAGATCGCCACTTCACGGCTTTCGAAACATAATTATAGAGATGTGATCAAGTTCAATATATATTTATGAATTTATTTACGAACCGATTCAATTCAATATCATTTTATCCAGATATTATTTTATTGGAATCGTGAATTATAAAAATTATATATGTATGCATTTATATATCATTATTTAACATTATTGTAAAAATTTCATACATTTAAGTATGAGACAAATGTATAACAAATGATAATAGTATCAAAATATAACCGAAAGTTTATAAAAATATATTCGAATCTCTTATGGATATTTTAAATCAGTTTAAATTAATTTAACATTTAATTTCGACTCAAATTACATTTTTAAGTAATCATATAAGATTCGAATTTATGAAACTTTCGATTACATCATGATATTGTATTTTGCAAAACTTGTACTAGACTCAATTGCAGCATAAAAAATTGATTACATTTTGATGCTATTATATTTATATATTCTTATAATAGGTTTAGACATGCTGCAAATGCTAATCAGTACTACTTAATCCCATCTCTATATAACTGAAATATATCAGATATAATAATTCTATAAAAATTATATAGATTTATATTTATGGAAAGATATAGCATATAATTTGACATAATTTTATCAACACTGTGCAATTAAAAGATAAAAATGCAAAAGTTGTTAAGCCTTTTCTATTGCTACTTCTCGATTTATACTTTTACATCAGAATGTTTCGTTCGTAGAAAATTCGAATGTCATTTCTGTTCATATGTCGTTGAATAGCTTCAAACAATAGAATTGATTCTATTTGAGGAACTCTGCCAAAGTTATCAAAGAAATAGTAATAATTAATTTCTTATAACTGCCTAAAAGATTCGCGCACGCAATTGCATGCTCTAGTACACACCGATGCATCTTAAAATTGGTTGTTATCGACAATTATTTATGTAAAGAAATGATATAAAGGTCTTTCCATTTGATAAATGCTTAACATATAATATATATTATATATTAAATTATATAATATATTATATAATATAATATATCAATAATAATATATGTGGAACGGGAAATTGGCCACTTGCATATTATGCTTACGTCTTCATATAATTTTTTTACGACTTTTAATATGCATCAGTGTGCATCCTAAAGAAATTAGTGCGTCCGAAAGAACTCGCACACTTATAAAAAACTCCCTTATCAATTTCTGCTTTATTCAAAACGCAGCGTGTCTTCGTATACTTTTTATTAGATACTTATAACAAGTTCTGATTATTCAATGACCAATCGATTTATCTATTCTCTCACTTATATTATTTCGTTTAACTTTCATTTTTACATACTTACATTCTCACTAACACTCTCACTTACACATTCAGTCGCTTCTCAGCTTTATGTAAAACTGATTATTTATTTTGAATTCTCTTTCCTCTCTTTCACTCTCTCTCTCTTTTTGTGAACTCTTTATATGTCTTATATTATTATCGAATTTTAACTGATATCACCAAAATTGCAATTATCGATGATTCTCAATGGCTGTGATCTTGATTTAAAGTACAATCGTATTTTCATATTCTTTGCTTAACGGGATCGAGAGTTAATTTGTCTATTCTCGATTTCTTTTTTAATCTATTGGAATATAAATAAGATCTGAAAAGATAATTAAGAATAGACGAGCAATTCTTTTACTCAGTATCGAATAAAAAAATAAGAAGATCTAATTGTAGTTTAAATTTCGATTTGAATTATCCAATCTTTTGAAAATATTATTTCAACTACTAGCTTTAAAAAATCAAATTATGAGCTAATGATAAAATTCCGGTAGATTGCACAAGCGTCGTTGTTGTTGTTGTTGATGATGATGATGCTGTTGTTGCGGTGGATGTTGTTGATGATGCTGATGATAGAGAACGTCCCCTTGATGGGTCGCTTGCTGATGTCACTCGTGAGACTTGTTGTTCAGCGGATGATAGTTGCCGCCTGCCGAAGCAACCAAAGCCAGAGGCAAAGATGAATTCAAAGATGCCGGGTGAGGATGCGAATGGCCCATGCCGGAAGAATGCGTCGTAAGGGCCAAAGGACTACCGGACATGGAACTAGCGATAGAGGCGAACACCGAGGGCGCGGGCGACGTCATCGTTGGGCTACCCATCGCTGCTGTTGGCGGATTGATCCTCTTTTCTTTTTGCCTTCTGAAATATAAGTTATACATAAATTGCTCCTGTGAAAAAAATCAATGATATGAAATCAACAGAGAATCTACGAAATCTGATTATCTGATTATGAATTTGAGAAAGAAAAAAATATGGAGATTATGTCATAATTATATCCTAACAATATCAGTATTTTTACCTATTGCAGAACCATACGCGAACGACTTCTTTCTCCATCGCAAGACTATCCGCTAGTATAGTTATCTCTTCGGATGTAGGCTTCGGGTTTTGGATAAAAGCCTTTTCTAGAGCCACTCTTACGCTGGTCTCTATCGACGTCCTTTTCTTCCGCCGTCTGCCGATCGCTTCCGGTGTCGTAAGTGGATTCGATAGAGAATTGGGATTGTTCAAGGAATTATCGGCATCCTCCAGCCATTTTTGTAAGAGTGGCTTCAGCTTGCACATATTTTTGAAAGAAAGATTTAACGCTTCGAACCTGAAATGCGGAAGCATCGATTTTCATCTAATTAAAATCAATAATGTTATTAGATTAAATTAAAATTAATGTTATTTATTTTTCTTTTCATTTTCTATTTTTTAATTTTTTATTGTGTAAAAATATATGTTATATGTAATTCAAACAATATAAAAATAGTTATCTTAGTTGAAAAGCTCAGAAATATTCAGACGAGCTCTAAGTTTCTACGATTGCGTTATCTGAAAAAACTATTCTCATTTCATCGTGTAGTTTGAATTGAGAATATATATCTACCTGGAGATGGTAGTTTGCGAGAAGTCGTTGCCGTAGAGTTTGCCCATTGCGAGTCCAACGTCTCCTTGGGTGAAACCGAGCTTGATTCGCCTCTGTTTGAACGTTTTGGCGAATTGTTCGAGTTCCTCGAGATCCGTTGTCTCCTCTGGAGAGGGTTCTAACTTTACCGATTTTACTGCTGGCGGGGTGCTTGGCGGTGGTGGTGATCGTTGCGCCAAATTTCGCCCGACTAAACTACCACTGTTTTGAAGAGCCTGCTGCTTCTGCAGAGCTTGTAACTGTTGAGCTGCCTGAGCTACCGCTTGCTGCACCTGATAATATTTTAATTCTTTTTTTAGAAATTATAAATTAAAAGAAAATATATTCAAGTTATATATAATGATGAGGACTCACTCGCGATTATATGAAAATTTATAAACATGCGATTTAGTTGAAGAATATTTTCCTGAATATTTTGAATCTTTCATTTTTAGAGAAATTTTTTATTTAAATATAGTGAACAATCTGCGTGTTTTCATTCGCGAAATCACAGGGATCAACAATGCCCGGACACGATTCTGCCTTACATCGTACCTGCATGGACTGTGAGCGCGGATGACTCGGTCTTGTTGGATAGCCACCGCTCTGCAACAGCCCCTGCAAGACGTCGACGACCATTGGTGAAAATCAACATAATGGTCATCTATGTTCCGTTTTTACTCGTAATGAACATTTTTGGTTCTTTCACGAATCTCGCGAATACATAGCTATTTATATTCAATTTTGCCTCCGTCAGCCTTGAATGAAGATAAATGTCTTAGTGTTTTCATGTTGAAATGCGCGGCACGTGTCGGACTCGTGTGCACAGGTACGAGAAAGAATATGTATAATTCCAAGGGTTGAATCTGTCTGATCGATTATCTTCACCCTTTCCTTAGGGACGTGATGCTCGATTATGAGAATGAGGGGCTCGCGTCGCGAGTACGAATCGGAAAGGGTTCGGGGGTTGGTCGCGTGTCGCCGGCATACAAGCAGCTAGTTTATGCGCGCATTGTGGCCGCGAAGACACCCTACGGAAACGCCTCGAGTTGAGCCACGTGCGGGATCAATCGCGACAGGTTATCGTCTAACAGCACAAGGCATCCTTTTACTTTTAAACAAGACTGATCTTAGATAACGTGATTATATATTTTTGCATAATAATAATAATTGATAAAAAGGGCTAACGTTTACACGAGTTGTTATTAGTTAAACGTAAAAAAATGCGAGTAAACAAAAATAATACATATAAAATATAGTATTTCTTCGATTTTAATTTATCTTCGAGATTCCGTCAAAAATTATACTTATTACGTTATATATAACAACTTTCAAAATTATTCCATAATTATTCAGATCTGAAGAAATGAAAATTGATTTACACGTTATGTTAAACGATACTATGAAATCTTCTCTATTAAGGATTAAAGTCGAAGGAGGTGATCTCCGAATGAAGAAATTAAATGTCTGTTGCGGCAGATAAGCCACAAAGGTCTTCACGTGGCGCGCACACGTAACCGCTCGCGAAAGGGTTGGAAGAGGCAGGTTGTACTCGGCAAAACGGTTCCCCGAGTGAAGAAGGTCGTGTGCCCTTCTTAATGCTTCGCATGAATAAAAAAAAAGAGGAACACGCGGAGCGAGAATCCTCCCATATAGCTTAGGAGGAGAAGAAGCGGGACGAGAAAAAGGAAACATCCTGGCCACGTGTGAGGTAACAAAAGGCACCCCGTGGCAAGGTGCCGAAGGGCCCTGGGCCCACCTTGTGGCACCGTGCGGTATCTTCCAAAGAAGAGAGAGGGAGAGAGAAAGGAGACGGGGAAGATCTAGGGGCCAACAGGCCCTACGCGCAAATATGCGTGTACATGTGCGTGCACAATAAATGTATAATACATGAAGAACGCGGCTGCCCATTAAGTGTGCTAAAGCTCGAAGTCGTTTTGTTGATTTTTCCCGGAGACTATATAGTTGCACGCGCACGTCGTGACGGATTTTCTATAGGCATTTTTTTTTTCGTAAATGCAGAGCCTGATCCATTCAAATCGTTCGCGAGAAGGGCCGCATGGATGAAGAGAGGACAAGGGGGAGGAAAGGAGGGGGAGAGAAAGAGAGAGAACGCATCCAGGAAGCAGGATCGTTTTTCAACGTATCCCCGGATATCGTAGATCGATTCCTCCTCCTTCTTCTGTCGATTCGAAAGATCCGACGAACAAATAGTGAGAAAATCGTGAAACGCTCTTTTCATCCGAGAAATGCGTGCTGCAAGACGACTGATAAATATGTCGCTTCTTTTTCGACGATCAAGCGCGTCTTAAGGCATGCTTGAAATGTGATATTTATCGAGGAACATCAGGAAATCTCTTTGTCCTTTTTCCGGAAATGTCTTCAATTATTACTCGTTTTTTAAGTTTTTTATATCGTCATTACAGCTTTGATGATATATTAAAGATTTAAGTATCTTAAAATTCATATTCAGATTGTTTTAATCATATCTCCTTTTCATTCTTTCATGTTTAATTTATGATTAAGACTACTTTAACTTAGTATTTTTACATATTACACTTTTGTGTTGTCCAACAATAAAAAGGCTAAACAATCTGACTAAATATCAGGCAAAGAAGCTTCCAGCCGAAAAGGCCGCCAGGACTATCTCAATGACTACTCGCGAAGAGACTTTAATGCGGCGTAATGGAGCGCAAAGTACAGTCTTGATGTGGTTGTAAGTTGGCGCTTTTGCATCGGGTATGCGAACGCGAGACTAAACGAAGAGGCAGCACCCCGGCCTCCTTTGTGCCGTCGCCAAGCCGGCTATCTCGACGTCGAATCGCGAGAGTGCCGTCCGCGAAAGAATAAGACGTTCGCTCTCGCCGGATCTACACCGATCAGATAGCACGGCCGGATTGGGACTGAATTGTCGTTTCTTCGACGATACGCGCCGATCGGCTTCGATTTAGCCGATAGAATTGCGATATTGTAATGTGCGATTCAAATGGATAAGATAACTCGATACAGACTAGTGTTATCGGTAGTGTGTTATATCCATGTCAACAATATGATATGGAAATCAGAAATACAATATAATATTCTTCAAAACTCTCTTTTAGCCTCTCTTTTAGCCTCTATCAGAGAGCGAATTTCATAAACTCACCGAATTTTGCAAGAAGAACTGCGTCTGCGCCGGAAGCTGCCCCGCCGCCGGATTGGCTTGAAACATGGCGAGTTGTTGCAGCAACGATTGTTGCTGTTGCAGCGTCGAGGCGAACGCTTGGATGTCTTGAGGCGATCTCAATGTCCCGAGAGAGCTGTGCATGAGCAATTGTTGGCCAACCAATTGAGCGGCCAACGCTGCCTGCGAGTTACTATTGTTCTGCTGGCTAGATGTGTGTTGTTGTTGCTGTTGATTTCCCGTAAGCTGGCTGCTGACTACAGAACTCGGTGGAGACGCGCTGCCGCTGGTACCGCTACTGCTATTCCGTTGCGAGATATCCGTGACCTGAGTAACATCGTCAAATTAAATTTTCGTCAATAAGTCTTACAATAAGTGCGAGTGAAAATTTATAACAAGTGTGTATTTCAAGACTTTTATTATCGCAGCGTGTGCTTTTAACACATCTGCAACTCGCGAGTACATTTTCCAGTGTTAAAAGTCAAGATTACGAATCTTACGATCAGCCAAATGATATGCCGACGACTCTTGACATTCTACAATTGAATGCTTTATCGCTTCAGATTATCAAGTCTTTGACTACTCCCTCCTTCGAAATGCGGCCTACGACGCATTTCACACTGTAATGTGGCACCGAGAACACGAAGAATCAGCCGAGAGCCACGCGAAGAGGGCCACCCTCCCTAATATTACAGAGTAAATTCGCCGTCGAACAAAGCCGTGTTTACACTCGGCCAGGTCAGGATATTGGTCACTACGGTCCATCCTGCGCTCTTTTGTGTTTTATAAAACCTACTCTCCCTACGTGTCGTCGTCCCTTCTTGTCGTTCATCTCGCTAGTGGCTTCCTTTATTTATTTGTCAAATATTGATCGCGAGCGCTTTTTACGCCCGTCAAGAGGGAGAGAGAGAGAGAGCGACCCGTAAGAAAGAAAAAAATCGGAGACACGACCGGGACGTTCCTCTCGAAAGAAAGCATGCCGGATATTACGTTCGCAAATGGGATTGGTACCGTTGTTGATACATTTAAGCAACGCACACAAGGCCCATATGATAATACGTCATATGACAAAGCAAGCTTTCGTTAAAATGAGTAGAGAAAATACCATTCAAGTTGAATCATTGAAGAAAGTTATTTTTTGCAAACATTATTGGCGAATTAAATTAAAAAAAAAACATTAGTTAGCAACAACTAAATAACTAAAATGTTCGATTAGAATAAAATGAAATTTATATTTATGGTAAATTCCTATAGACACAGATGTACATAATATTTTCTACATAAAAAGAAGAGTATATAAATATATTTATTATAATTTATTTGAAAAATGTTTAGTAGATAAAATTGTTTTTATTTCTAAAAATTTAATTAAAAATTATATCGTTATCATCTTTAATATTTGCTTATAAAAAATTTTGCGTCTAAATTTCTCTATTTTCTTATGTTTTACAGCAACGGCGACGGTTATTTACGATGATTATTCACTTGGCTGTAAATATTCCTTATTAATTTTGAAACAACGTGTATCATATTGAACGTCGATATTAATAGAACTGTTGTGACACACGATTCTCGAAAGCAAAAAGAGTAACTAATTTCGCGCGTATTATCTAAACAGCTGTAGCTTCGCGCACGCAAGATGACGTGCAAACTATTTACAAACAAATTATAGTCATATATATTTTGCTCGCGGCATTAAAAGTTGAGCCTCTTTTCAACACTCTTCATGTGTCAGAAATGATAATCATTAACATACAGTGTGACTGCATGACAAAGTGTTTCCATTTCATAATTCTCTTTTAATAGAAAATTCGCAAATCCATAAAATATTGATAAAAAGTATTGACAAAATTAAATAAAGATATACAGTCTTGAGGTTCTCGCAAAATAAGATTGACATAAATTCGATAATAGATTCGAGAATAAAATAGATTAGAGATATATATAGAATTAGATATAATTTACCAAATTGAGAGCTTCCTTATCCGAGTCCATAGAGTCATTTTCAAAGTGTCCTTCGGTGGCATCATGGATGTCACTTGTGATGCTTCTGTCATCGCCGCTGAGTTCTGGACCGTCAACATCGCCGTGTAAGTCTGCATCTGTAACAATCAAATAAAGAGTTTCATGAAAAATAATGTAGGTATATATACGCGTTTTCTCTTCAATCTATTATCTCTCATACTTAATAGATATCTATAAATTGTTATACATTAATCTCATTAGACGATTTTCAGATATAAATTCAAGATATTTTAAACGCGTCTCAAGTCTTCGTATCAAGCTTTACGAAATTTATTAATTTATTATTTATTTATTGCCGTACAATCGTTGTTATTCTGCGCTCTATACTTCCGATGGTGGTGGTAATGTGTAGGGGTAGTAGTCGGTGTGCTGGTAGCATGAAGACGCATGTCCGCAAAGATCATTCTGGGTTCCTCCAGGAACACCATCATAATTTCGTCTCGTCCGTTCGCCGTCCCTACATCAGGACGTTTCTCGAGGTCCAGAACGATGATCGATTCCTCGCGCGAAAGCGAAAAGGATCGCGCGCGGCGATCCTAGGTTGATCTATCGATCGGCGCGATCTCATCCCGCTTCGGAGGACATCGGGACGGAAAAGAGGCTGCGCACTTCGGTCCAGGGAAAAACGCGACGGTCTTCCACTTTTGTTAGCGCGAGAACGACTATCGAACACGAGATAGTTGCGTACTAATTATATTCACGAGACTTGGAGCAGACGCGTTTGAGTTTGATTATCGCTCGTTCGACACCTCATGAATATTTATACGGTTCCACACGATCTTTCAAGGAGCGAGAAAGAAATTGCGAAGGTCACCGCGGCAACACCGGTCTTCGTCGGCGGACCGATACGAAGCGAATGTCAGAATGACGCAACGAAACCGTGCCGCTAAGGGCGCATCAACCCTCCCCACCACCACGTGGCCCGACCGGGCCCCGGGATTGGTCGGGCGCATCGGTTACATCGAACCGATTGGTCGCAGCGAACCCTTTTGCCCTTTTCGGCGTGCCCTCTCTTTTCTCGATCGCGGCAACCCTTCGCGAGCATCCATCATCATATCTTATGACTGCTCTCTCTCTCTCTCTCTCTCTCTCTCTCTCTCTCTCTCTCTCCCTCCCTCCCTCTCTCCCTCGCCACCCCTTTAGCGAGAGTCTCCTTCGTCTCGCGCCAGGGTTGCCGGGATAATGGTACGGAACCGATACGCAGAAAACTGGCTTGCACGAGCGCGATTGGCCCGCGCGAGATTTTTAATAAATATTTCGATACGCTACTTTGAAGGGATTTATGACGCCCGACGTCATATGTCGCGCATGCTCGTGTCCGCTGTCGAAGCGACGAATCTCCTCGTATGTTATCGGGATCGCTAAAGCTTCAGGTCTTTTCCATTTTTCTTGCACATGTCAGTTAATGTTGTAAGTTGTAAATGATCGCAGAAAAATTTGCACTGTTTGTAATTGATTTGTATAATTTGTGTATTGCTTTAACTAGTTAGTGCATACATATATATGTTTATATTAAAGCGATAAAAATCTTCAAATGTATTATCCTATTAAAAATTAGAATTCTTTAGAGGGGCATTTCTAGATTTATATATGACGTATATCAGATACATATTACATGTAGAAAATGTTTATTATATGAATAGATATTTCAAATCAATCCTTTTAATGATAGATTCTCTTCAGTCAATTTGGAATTGATTATTTAGCAAAGCTGTCGAGGCAGCAATAATTTCTAAATTGTAATTGATTGAAGAGAAAAGAAGGATTTTTCGCGAGAACAAAACTTCTGAGAATTTAAACTATATACTTTAGTTAAGTTCAAATAAAGTTTACTTTAATAGAATTTTGATTTGAAGTTACAAAGATATATAACGTAGTTGAAGAGTTGTATTAAATAATAGACTTCGCACCTTGCGAAAGAATTTGATTTTTTATTTGAAAAATATCACATATACTTGTATAATGGGATCTTTTATATATCCTTTATACAGCACGAAATAAATACGCAAGAATACGTAAACTAAGCGAGCAATCAACCGCGACTAAAGACACAAGAAGAAGCTGTTCCTTCGCATTCTTGTGGGAAAGTCGAAAACCGCGGAAGGACCAGGTCATCCGGGGGATGAGGAGAAGGGGGATGAGGGTCAGCGATGCCAAAAAGTGGAAGTCGCTTAGCCATTTGGAGTCTCGCTTTTCTCTCGTGGCGCTTTCCCATCGACTTTCAATTTCGGGATAAAAGCCGAGGAGAGAAACCGAAAATGGAGATAAACGCTCGCGAGAGAGTTTCATAAAAACGCACTACCGCGGACGCAGGTGAGGACGGTCCTTCGGGTCCGACGCGATGCTACCGGGGATACCGAGAACGATCGTTATTGGTGCAGCAGGAGCGGAGGCAAAGAGAGAAGAGCGAAGGAATTTAAAATTCTGTGAATCCTGCGAGCGCGCTGCGTCGCTTTTCGGGGGTCTCGACCCGATTTTCGTCTCTCCATCTGACGGTTACCTGACGGGAGAGGATTCCCCCGAAATCGTAAAAAAGAGGCGAAAAAAAGATGCAACAGGTCAGGTAGGATACCTCCAGGAAACTGACGGGCGCATTGGGTATTGCTATGGAATCCCTATAAAATTTCGCTCCGCTCGACACGTCTCCTGCCTCTCCCGAGAGCGCGTATCCTAGAGACCCTTCTTCCTCCGTTCTTTCCATCACGTAGGATACTGCGGCAGGTACATGCGCGGCTCACACGCGGCTTTCCCTTTTCATCCACGAATTTGCATCGTCCCTCCCTTTTTTCACCGAAAATTACGCTTTTTTCCGTGAGAATCTGCGGGCCCCTCCGTGAACGGGAAAGATAGCGCCGAAGGTGGGGAGACGGAAGAAGGGGTCCAAGATTTTTGGGGCGATTTTTACCGGTTTCGACTTTACCCTTGCTCTCTTTTGTTACCAATGTGTAAAGCAACGCGTTAAAGATGGCGGTCCGCATTAAACCAGGTGTGACGTTTTTGATAACGGAAAAGAAGAGAGAGATTCGCGAACGAAACTACCGCCGATTGATTTCTATTTCTTTGTATTTTTCTACGCATGTATGTGCAGAATCGCACATGCACAAACACACATGCATATAGAGACAGGAGAAGCGACGGTTTTTCTCCGTTTTTTTTCCAGCAAGTTTGCGAGTAACGGACACTTCGCTTTCAGCGAATCAGAGATGATGGTTTAAAAACCACCCAACGGATATAGTAGTGATAGATTTTTTTAACGACACTGAGAAGCAGAGAAGAAGAGAAAAGAAAGAGAGAGAGAGAGAGAGAGAAAAAGATGAAACGTGGCTGAGACGTGGATGAACATCAACGGATTTTTAACGTAACTCTGTAAAGTTACCCAATTGGTTACGTCGAAAAAGAATAGATCTTCAGGTAAAAGAATGCATTTTGTGTGAAAAGATTTAAGAAAGCACTTTAGCAAAAATCTCACCCCTCTCATACGGAACTGTATAATTTCGCTTCTCTCTAGAGACAAATTATAAGACGAATTACAAGAGAACTTTACTATTAGTTTTAAAATACCGGCGAATATACACTTCTACGATCTTACAATCGGATGGGAAAGAAGCGGGCGCGCAATTGAAAGCCGCGATCCGTCCCGCCGATCTCGAGAGGGCCGATTCGATATCAAGCCGTACGAAAGAATGTCGATCATCTGGAAGATCGTTATCTCCCGACTCTCCGGGATCCCCCGGTCCCTTTGTGTCCCGCATCTGCATACACACACCGACGCACGCACACGCGCGCGCGCGCCGTCCATTGTTGCGCGGACGCGGACGCACAATGCAGTTCGTCCGTGCAATTTCGGGCCATTCAAGTCCGTTTAGCGCTTCGCACGAGTGACACGGTAACCGTCTATCCATCACCCACGCACACTTGCGCGATCGCGACACGTGAAGAAGAGGAACACCGTCCATCGTCGAGAGTCGAAGCGGCGAATGCGTGCGATGATGCGCGCCCACGATGAGGGAAGGGGGAGGATTGGAGGGGGAGGGGGGGGAGTGCAGCTGGAGAGACGCAGCCTCCGTGTGTTGTTGTTACGTGCCGCTCCTCGGAGCGGAGGTCGAGGATGCGAGGCCGCGGCGGCGACCTTCGCCTTCTCTCCCTCTCGAAAGAACGGCCTCCTCCTCGCGTGACCCACGACGAGAACTACGTGGCCGACGACCCGAGCACGGGCAACTTTCGGGATTAGGAGAGTGAGTCACGTCCGTCAGGTGATAAAGTGGCACAATGGTGCACCTGAAGGTGCCCACCGCGTCGTAGGATTACGCGCTTTTTTCGCAAAACCTGCTGTTGCGATTAAATGCGATGGGAGAAAGAAGGTTGATCGTGGCGATCCTTATCGCTTATCAGATCGAGAAATTTGTCAAGGATTTAAATGTAATGAATATTAATCGAGTACGCATGCATATTATAATTTGATTTAATAACATCTAAAAGAAAACAGATACAGATGGAAAGAAAAAAATAATCTATATTGTATCCGAAATTTAATTAAGAGAACATTGCATCTGTTCTAAATCACTGCGAATGAAGTACTCTAATGAAGATAATTTCTGTTAGAACATTTTCTTTTTGTCTTGTTAAGGCCTAATGCAACATTTCTTTTTTGCTTGTTCAAATTACAGTTCGAGAAACAACCTAAAGTAGCACGACAGTTCTCTAATATCCATACAAACCAACGTCTGAATTATACACCGTCTCTCATAAATATTGCATTCACATCGGAAGCAGAACAAAAGTTCCCACAACTATAATCCATCAAAAATCAAAACCCTGAACAAATACGGTAAACTGCATAAGTAATGTTTGGTGAAATTATCATGTCTTTATAAATAGAACTTAGTTGGCATGATTTTTAACTTAAGATTGTTAATGCCGTAAATTAAGATTGTTAATTATAAGCCGATTAATGCTGATTTTAGCTTTATAATAATCAATTTTATTATTAATTATTAATACAAATTTTAAAATTTATTATTACTTTTTGTATCAACACGCCTCGTAGAATAAAAAAAACTAAAGTTTTTTACGAATT